CGCCTGGGAAAGGTCCGGGGAAGGTCGAGGAAAGGTCGAGGAAGTGCCGGAGCCCGAGAGTGCCGGTGCAGCAGGCCGCCTTGGCGGGGCCCCCGGCGACGCCGATGGTGCGCGCACCCGCCACCTTTGCCAGCTGCGCCGCCACGCTGCCCGTCGCGCCCGTCGCTCCGCTCACCAGCGCCGTCTCGCCGCGGCGGGGCGGCCGTGCGACGGCGTGCACCCCGACCCAGGCGGTGATGCCGCTCGTGATCCCGAGGATGCCGAGAAAGGCGGTGGGGGGCACGCCCGGCAGCGAGATCATCGGCATCAGCATCGCCGCCTGCTCGGCGCTCAGCTTGGCGACCGTGCACGCGCCGAGCCTGCATGAACACTCCAGAGTGAAGACGCGGCAGTGACTACACGGGCAGTTATCACCGCTGAGTACAGCGGAGTACGTCTCCTCTCGAGAGCGAGGCGGACGACGCGGATCTGTGTTGCGCATCTAGGCCGACGAGCATGCCCATCACGCGCGAGCCGGGCCGGAGCTACGCACAAGAGGGGACGAGGTGAGTGGGAGCGAGTGACTGAGAACGAGCGAGCGAGTGGGTGAGAGAAGCGGAGAGCTGTGGAGAGGCGGAGAGGCAGCAGAGGCAGGTAGGCAGGGAGGCAGGGAGGCAGAGAGAGGAGGGAGAGACTTTGCCTTGGGAGAGGCCGAGGCGATGACGCGACCGTAGCCGAGGGCGGGGAGCGTGTCGCCGAGGGAGATTGCGCCGTGGTACGCCTTCTCGTCCAGCATCGTGCGCAGAAAGGCATCGACCGAGAGCATCTCCACCTGGACCAGCGCCTCGCCCTGCGGCGAAGAGAGTGACCTCTTGCGACGCGGAGGCGGGCGAAGGCGGAGCTTGCGAGCGAATGCAGGGCTGGAGTGGGAGAGCCGGCACCTCGTCCAGCTCGGTGTCGATCTCGATCTGCTCCTGCAGCGCAAAGTCGTCGACGGAGACAAGGCCGTTTGGGCGCGCTCGGAGCTCCCAGCGCGAAGACGAGATGACGCGAGGCAGCGGCGGAGGCGATTCCTGCTTGCTGCTGACGAGGTTGCCCATGAGGGAAAGGGAAAGATAGTGTTGAAGGGCAGCCACAGCGATGAAAATGCGAGGAGCGGGCGCCAGCAAAAGAATTTTCCCGTTTAGGTGAGCAACTCGCTCCTTAAAATCCCGGGGGCGGCGTGCCGTCCTCCCATCCCTCCCTTGGGGTGTCGGGTTTCTTTCTTTCTTTTTCCTCGCTGCGACGCAGGACGAGGGCACATTCGGCGAGTGGCTCGACGAGCTACCCTTCGAGGTGGCTGCGGCGACCGCCCGGCTGCTCAAGCACCACGCGCGCTCCGGCGCGTGGGTCGAGGCGTCGAGCTCTCGCCCGGCAACCCTAGCCCGGCCTCACGCGCTGGCCGCGACCGCGACCGCTCGAGCCCGAACTGAGGGCCCGACTTCAGAATCGTGCTTTTTTGGGTTAGGGACGAGCGCGAAGGACCCGATTGCGGTGAAGGACCGCAGGTTAGGGACCGATCGCCGCCGCTCACGCCAGCGGACGGTCGTCGGTGATGTTAGCTACGCCACCGTCTACCTCGTGCGCAATGCGCTCGCCGGCATCGAGCGAGCAACGTGTTCGACCGAGCGGCTTGCTGTGCGGACGGCTTCTTGTGGCTCTCGTCGAGAGCGTTTTGCGGCCCGGCGGGTGGGAGAGCATGTGTCGTCTGATGTGTCACTGTGTACGTCATATCAGTCTTGATAACAAGTACGGTCGATCCGTCAAAGCGATACACTCGTCACGATCACGTTGGACGGCTTGCACAGAGCTCTGTGCCGGCACGCATCAGGAAAGACCGCCGTACGGCAAGAAGAGCTCGATGGGGAGCGAGAACCGTCAGAGGTGCTCACGGAGGTTTCGGAAGTCCGCCATGATGCAGTCAGTTCCCCCCAGGTTTGACTGCGTAGGTCGCGGAACTCGTTGAGTACTCGCAGCCTTTCTGCGCCTCCGTCTGGGCATATCGGCTGCTCGGCAAGAGCAGTCTTTCCGGAAGATATCGACGGTTTTCGAGAGCCACCCGCTTGGGAGCGATTGAGCGCGTCACGGAGGACTTCAGGTTACCCTTGAAGCTCCTCTGACGGTTCTCGCTCCCCATCGAGCTCTTCTTGCCGTACGGCTCGGTTCCTGTTGCTGGCACAGAGCTCCCGTGCCAGCCGTCCAACGTGATAGGAACGGGTGTATCGCTTCGACGGATCGACCGTGCTTATTATCAAGACCGATGTGACGTACACAGTGACACATCAGACGACACATATTCTCCCACCCGCCGGGTCGCAAAACGCTCTCGACGAGAGCCACAAGAAGCCGTCCGCACAGGAAGCCGCTCGTCGGACAGGCGTGCTCGCTTGATGTCGGCGAGCGCATTGCGCACGCTTTGAACGGTGGCGAAGCCAAAAACACCGATGGTGGCCGTCCGCCGGCGTATGCGGCGGCGATCGGTCCCTAACCTGTCGCCCGCGGTCCCTAACCCAAAGTGGTCCTTCGCGCTTTGGTCCCTAACCAAAAAAGCACGATTCTGAAGTTGGGCCCTCGAACTGCCCGTCAGACATGTCGGAATTGTCGGAGAATAGCGACTAGCACACCTCTGAGTCCCAGAAACCCGAGGAGTCACACAGTCCACCTGTGTGATGCACGCCCTGCGAGCGGGGCGGGGTGCGCACTGTCCCTCTGTGTTCGTGTGCGTCGCCCATCTCTCCCTGGAGATGACTGCTCTATTTATTTATAAGACCAAGGCGCGGGCGGCGGTGCTCGCCGGCGCTCGCGGCGCTTCGGTGCTCGGGCGCGCTCATCATTGTGGTCGTTCAGGGCGGCTTGCACAGCGCCCGCAGGCACACACACACACACACACACACACACACACACACAACACACACACACACACACACACACACACACACACACACACACACACAGCACACACACACACACACACACACACACACACACACACACATGCACACATGCACAGACACACAGCCCCTTCCCCTTTCCCCTTCAAGACCTCAAGGACGAGGACATGCGCAGGCCGCACCTCTAGCGAAGCCCACAGAGTGGGAGACTCCTATCACCGCCCCTGCCACCCAGCACGGCGTGAGCCTTTGCCGCCTCTGTCAGTGTGCCCGTGATAGTGAGAGACTGTGAGAAGCCGGAGGAAGGTCGCTAGTCGAGAGATCGCCAGTGGAATAGGGAGTCCACAGTGGGTGACGACAGTGCTGCGAACCTGTCGCTGTCCCTTTTGTCAGGAGCGCTAACTAAAAAGCCTCGTGAGGGGATCGAACCCCCGACCTTAGCATTACAAGTGCTACGCTCTGCCACTAAGCTAACGAGGCTGGACTTTCGAACCGGAAGCCACTCGGTCGAGGGAAGGCGCTCGAGCGGCGTAAGGTCCGAAGAGATCT